GAATCATTAATCGATGATCTTAACCGAGGATGATGTCTTCGTGCGTCGTTTAAGGGTCAATGACTGAAGAACATAGTCTCTATACTTTGAAGGAATTGTCATATTAACTCTCGTTTTCCTTTTAGCTATCAATTTTGATGTCGATCTTGATCCCGATTTGGATAACAATTCAGTAGTAGTGACTAGTGAGAATAAGATTGTTAAACTGAAGAGGTATCTGTCTTCTGATTACGATTCTTCTTTGAATGTAGTGAACACCAACAACCGATCTGCTATAACTTGGTGAATTGCTTTCACGAGTAGAGTCATACCAAAACAACGAGAAATAGAGGGTGATTGAAAGAAAAAAAAAGTTAATTGACGATGTTAAGAGTTTGTGTATGTGTTTGATAAACAACGTTGTCTGACTATCCAAAAGATAACCGATTCATCCTTTCACTTTCTCGATAATGGTTTTTTTAACATGTCCCTAGATTAGTAAAAAAAACAAGGAACATTTAAAAAACCCAAGATTTTGTAGGACTACAATGTCATTTTACCTTTAAAAAAAGAAGTCTTATATATGAAGGACTCGTTTTGCACTACGGAATCAGATTTTGCATTATTTTCTTTAATTTTAAATAATATAAGAAAAAATCACTGAAGTGTTGTTTGGTTTTGAAGAAGTAAAATGTTTGTAGTCTACGAACCACATCTATAGAGAAAAAGAGGTGCACTAAACGTTTACAGTTTGCAAAAAAAAAAATGTTTGTTTTTTAAAATCTTCTGACTGCATAATTTTAAAAACTATTTTTTTAAAGTATTGTAAAACTCAGACCAGGTTATGCCCATGAAACGTTATTTTCTTTATTCACTAGTCTAGATATTTCATTCTTATTGAACGATATTACTAAAATAATGTTTATTTCAAAATATTGTAATTGTTTTGAATTAAATAATGTTCAGATTTATTGGAAAAAATAAAAAAAATTATCTATGTTTCTTTTTATATATATATATATATATATATATATATATATATATATATATATATATATATATCATTTGACATTTTAAAAAATGATAGTTGTATATCCCTTTTACTGCAAACCACAATTCCTTATTTCATATATATCATTTTTTTGTTGTTTGGCGGTTTATATATGGGAAAGCTGCAATAAAATCCTTACATATTGGCATCATTATCGATTTAGTCATTATATATTTTTTTTTATTCAATTAAGTCTCAAATACCGGTAATCATATTAAATTTAACCATTTGACCCGGTCAACAGGTCATCCAACTTTCAAAAATTACATTTTTAGCCCAGATTTCAAAATTTATTACAAATTTGGTCCAAAATTTACACTTTTGGCCCAGATTTTAAATTTTGTTACAAATTTGGTCCAAAATTTACCATTTTTGCCCAAATTTTAGAATTTTATTACGAATTCATCTTAACTTTAGTTTTTTTACAACTTCTTTTCTAAAAAAATTGTTTCTAATATGTTCTTTCTTTATAAACTCATATTTATACAAAAAAAAAACATATTTCACATAAAAATCTTATATGAAATATCTACTTATAAAAATAGGTTTGGATTATTTGTGTGATTTCTCTTAAAAAATCAATTAAAAAATTAAAAATAACCCTAAATTATACTATTAAATTATAGTTTGTCAAAAACTAGTTACACTCGTTTTAATACTATTTATTTGTTCTTTAATCACATTTATGGGACAAATAATGTGAGTTCTTAATTGTAGTTCATAGAAATTTACATTTTATTCCTAAGAATGTGGAGTTTGTAGATATTCAATTAACAATAAATATGTTTCATTACATCATATATCCTTTAACCGTTTTATTTGTTTTGAATTAAATAAAATTTGTTTTACCATTTATTAACAACCTAAAAACTAAAATTACATTATATATGAAAGT